AATGGAGAATCACATGGATAAGAAAAAGCTGGGATGATATGACTTCTAGTCTAAACTCCTAGCATCCCTTAGTAACCCTGTATAATACTCCGCCTCTATAACCCCCCCTTTAAAAACTTTGGACTAGGGCTCATATGGGGACTTAAGCACCAAGAACCTCCTGGTACCTTTACTTGGGGTTTATGCACGCGCATCGCACTCAGGCACTGTTCTTTCCGAGGTTCCAGCGAAACTATCCAGCTGCAGAACAGGAAATAAAATCGGGGTTTGGGGTTTAGCGCTCTTAGCCAACACCTAGTGACCTAGTGGTTTTGAGTTTTCGGGTTTCACGGTTTCAGAGAGAGGCATAACTGCGCAACGCCGACATTGCAAGAATGCTGCCGATGATGCTGATGAACTACACCTCCTACCACTGCTTCTTCTGCTTCCACCACCACCGCCACGTCCGCTGCTGCTGCTGCTGCTACTACTGCTGCTACTACTACTACTACTACGACGACGACGACTACTACTACTACTCCTGCTGCTGCTGCTACTACCACCACTACTACTTACACCACTACTGCTACCACCGTTATTGGCAAACACTTACTACACACTGCGTTGTTCTATGTTCTAGCCAAGGGGGCTGTAGTGGTTTGGTAGCGGCAACGCAGCGCAGCAAGAGCGCATCCGTGTAGCCACTAGCTGCAGATAGCCATAGTATATAGCCCTACAGTAAACAGCCCCCAAGAAGGAAGTTATAACTCCCTTTGAACTTTATAGCTGCTTCCAGCCAAGTCACAAGATGAATCCAAACATCTCGTCGTCACACTTCTAGCGCCACAGCTCGGGAAAACAGGTCGAATTCTGTGCCCAATGGCTGACTCAGAACGCTGTCTTCAAGGGCTTCTGCGAAACACCGCGCATGCAAGTCTCTCATCCCTAACTTATGCAGACAGTTCGTGGCTCGCAGCATGCAAGTGGAAATGCCATACGATATGTCGTAAGCGCCAAGCCGTTTGCGCCATGTCCTGCAGCCATGCGACGTTCGTTTGACAATGGACAAGGGCTGTGAAAGGCAAGAAGAGAACGACATCGGAACTGCTATGCCATAAGGTTATCTCCAATACCTTTTCCACCTGCATTGTACATTCTATTTCAGTTTTCTTCTCTAACAGTCGGTGTGAAGCAAGCATTCTGCATCGATATGTTTTGCCATGCGGCTTCGCTCTGACGGACGGACTCCTGCGCCTCGCCTTTGCCAACTATGTCTTTGACCTCACATGGGTTTTGGGGTTTTGCTTTAGGGGATATCGGATAGGGGATAGTTGAAAACAGATGGTCCCATTATGTCCCATTGTGGCGCCGAAATCTTAGCTGCCGGTACCTAAGCCTACACAGGGCCTAGGTACGCACTGTTAGGGACCATGTATCCTCAGTTAAGGGTACTGGGAGCGCCTTGATACCTAAATCCGTTTTTCATCACAATTCCCATCTCATTTTGCATGTTCTCTCCAGCTGATTCTCCGGTATTCCTATATACCCCTACACACCCCAATATATCCCAACCCTATAGTCCAACTTCAGTAGATAGAATATGGCTTCGGGTATATTAAAATAAGATCCCCATATACCCCCCCTTTTGGGTACATTAAAATAAGATCCCCATATACCCCATATTCTATCTACTTAAGGGGGGCTATCAACTCTAAACCCCTAAACCCCAAATAGTAGTTTCCATTTTCTTTTCCATTATCCCAATATAACCCGAATATTACCCTAATGGGGTAATACAATGGGGACTGTATTCCTAAGCCAACAATTGTCCCATAACTCAAGGACATGCGGCCCACTTCTCAGAGGAGCAGCAAATCCAACAGGGCGGAATGACCTTAGCAAGGTTGCTGAGGCAAAAGCCTATATATGCCCTATATAACAGGGTAAATTAGAAGAATTTCAATTCCCAATTTAAAGTCATCTTGGTACTTTTCCGTATATAAACCACCATTTCGGGTGAGGTCGGGTGAGGTCGCTTTAAATTGCCCAGTATATAATCCCTAAACCCTAGTAGTTTCCATTTTCTTTTCCATTATCCCTATATAACCCCTTTATATCCTATAATCCCTATTTGAGGGTTCAAGCTGTTCCAAAAATTGGGCGTCCCCATCATAAAGATGCTAAGATTTTGAGGATTTGGGTGTCTATAAACTTACTGGTTAGGTTCGTAGTAGGGTATATGGGAACTTCATCGCTATATCATCCCTATATACTACATTCCCGTATCCCCTACAAAGAACCAGTAAGTAATGGGGACCTCCATTTGAGTAGCGTTTTTTAGTGGTTAAACCCAGTAAGATTCTATTCCTTATAAAATACTATACCCCAAAGGAGGATGGAATCTTACTCTATATTGGGTACCATAGTATCCCCAAATACACTACTACTCATTTCAGGAAGCCCCCATATCCCACGTCCTACCCAGTCTGCCGTGGGCCTCAGGATCGCCGCCCTGGTTCACTGACCTGGGAGGTGCGGCTCACTTTTCCCTTTGTACCCTAAACCCTAAAACTGCTGGTTCTAGGTAGGGAATCAGGAAAGATAGTATATAGGGATTACCGGGATTTTATTCCACATACTCCCTACTAAGCTCAACCCTAAACCCTGACCCCTACTAAGAATCAGTAGTCAGTAAGTAAACCATGAGATCGGGCTGACACTGCTGTGGCCTAAGGTGCAAACACGTCGAAGCATATCAAATTTCCTTCCACCAGCTGGCACAGGTCAGCAGACTCCTCCCAGCAAGGTCTCATAGGACATGCGGACAGAGATTACAGGAAATGGGGTTTCCCCAAATTAGGAATACCATTTCCGGTGTCCCTACAAAAGGATTATACAATATTAGGGTTGGTTCGGGGTCTCCTTGTCAAGGGAAACTACCACGTAGTGATACCAACTGTAACGACGGCAGGGAAAACGTTCTTCTTGCAGGCCATCCTACAAAACGTTAAGGCAACCGCTAGCACAACCAGGTCTCCCTAAACACCAAACCCTCAACCAAAAAAAACAAACAGCCCCACACTAAAGCTGCAAACCGAGCCCCCTAACCCTGAAACCCATGCTGAAATCCTCAAGTGAATATAGGGACTAAAACGGGGTATATAGGTATGTACATATGTGTATATATATATAGAGAGGGAGAGAGAGAGAGAGAGAGAGAGAGAAGGATCATATAGAGATTATTAGAAGGATCCACTCCCCCACTCTTCCTTAAGCACCAGTAAGTAGATCATACACCCGCCTCCTGCATCACCGCGTCGCGTCCATGCAGCTGCGTCACGTCTGGGCAGTCCACAGTCAGCGGCCCCGTCTCGGACCTGCTGGAAAAGCACGGTTAGGGTTTAGGGTTGGAAAGCATCACCAAACACTAGCTAGCGTTATCCATGGTGGCAATAAGAGACTCTAGGATATAACGGATTAGCCATTATAGCGTGTGGTTCTTGTGCAGTTTCCATGAATAGTGGACAGAGAAGGGCAACCACTGTATGCCTTGATTGCTTGATTCTTTTTTCCCCTTCATCACAGCAAGGAAGCAGAACCTACTATGTAATGAGATGGTAGCTTCGGAAAACGAGGGTCCTTCATATATTGGCCACCATCATATAACCCCTACTGGAAGAACCCCGATGCTTTCCATTTCCTTTTTCTTCCCGTCTGACTAGGAATAGAACCTGTAAACCTTAGGTTTCCGTGAATATTCCCGACGCAATCTCCCCGCCAACCCCTTTGCTACACTTACAGTCCCTAGATAATTCCTTACATAATCTCTGTAAACCCCTAAACCCTAAACCCCTAGAACCCTAAACCTTAACCCATAAACTCTAAACCCTAAAACCCCCTAGGCCCTAGTCCCTGGCCCGCTTTTTACTGTCGTCCCCTTAGACCCATAATACAAATGTTTTCTTTAGAAATTTCATAGGGCTTTCCTATGATATAGACTAGAAACAATTCTAAGGAGTCTACAGTTTAAAGGGTTATAGCTACATTCTCCCGCCTCACTACCAAGCCCTGGAACTCACCGAAGCGAGCGAACGTCTCGCTGCTTTCAATACCTGAGGGTCTAGGGTTTAGGGTGTGGGGTTTAGGGCTCAGGGCTTAGGGTTTGGGGTTTAGGGTAAGTGTATGGTGGGGTTCCAAAAATTGGGGGGTCCATTGTGGGGGGTCCTGAGAGTAACGATTGTGGCATATTGAGTTTATAAATGGGATTGTCAGTTTCCGAAACTATCGTTTGACTGCGAAGCTGCTAAAGAATGAGATTAAGTTGCTATACGAAGATAAGCCTGGCATTTGCTCCCTCTTGCCCGCAGACTCGCGGCTGCGTTCAGGGGCGAAGGTAAGTTGCCACTACTACTTACTCTGTATCAGTGTTATGGTAACTCTAGTTCAGCACCTCAGTAGCAATCCAGACGGTCCTACCCGCCCTACCCAACATTTCCTGAAGTTTATTTGTCATGCTGAGACCGGCCACCCACTCTTTTCCAGAACGGCGCGGAGGCCTGTGGCCTGCAGAACAGGATCATTTTCTGAAAAGTAACCTTATATCCCCGTAGCGTCTAGAGTTCAGGAGTTTTAGTAGGGAATGAGGACTGGAAAAGGGCTCGGAGAGTTTTGATGTTTATATGAAGATTAGTATATGGATCCATTCCTCCATTCCCAACTAAGAACTAGTAAGCGCCGCGCAGGCCCTTGCTGTTCATGTGAACCTTGAAGCATACCACGTCATTCAATGCCAGAGCACCTCAGACACCAAAAGCTGAATCAAAGGCCGAGTTGTCTTGGGAAGCGAAAAATTTAGGAATTTCCCAAAATTATTGGTACCCATTTAAAGGTCCCTATGATAAGGGTTCGTTCTAATATATTGGAGTCGATATTTGGGGTCCCCCTATTTTGGGAAACTGCCACCACAACCTCAAATTCGTAGCCCGGTTTTGAGGCGAAGGCTGGGGTCTGCAACAGACTGATGAACGTAGACCTCAGGGCCATATAATATAACATAATATAATATAATATCATAAAATACAGAATACTATACCCTCATGTGATACACTATAACATCAAATATTGCATAATATAATATCTACACCTTCAAAACAGGAGCCGAGAAAGCCTGAGAGCGGCACATCTCGTGGCAACCCTGATGTTGGGCATCTAACGAGGCTGACCTCATGGGCCAGAATGTGATGCCTCCCTTCCCATCCATCCTCCAATCCACAGGGCTACAGAAGCCCCAAAACCCTAAAACCACCTTTAACTCCAAAGTTGTGAAGGTGCTGCCAACATGGCCACTCTCAATCTGCATGGGGTTCGGGTATACATGAAAAGTACAATGCCCTTCCGCAACAGCCCAGTACTTCAGTAGACCCTAAACCCAAGGGCGCAGCAAACTTGTCCAGGTCTATCAACGACACTCGCCCTGCTTGAAAGCCATCGGGCCTGCCGCAAGGAGAGAAGATATCTAGTTGCTTACTAGTTCTTAGTAGGGGATATATTGGGGTTATATAGAGGGCAGTACTCCATTGCTTTTTGTACTGCTGGGATTGCATGAAATACTGGAGAATCAAATGTAAAAGAAAGTGGAACATCCAATGGAAACGAAGTTGATATGGGGATTTTCTGATACCGTTAATTGGGGATGTACGGACCCTTCTCGCGGTACTTAGCCCGTAGTGGAGGGTAGCTAAAGGGTCTAGGAAGACTATAGGCTCATTGGATCCTATACGCCAAGCCCTAAACCCCAACTCCAGGTCAGGCCTAGTTCAGAGTTGTTTGCCCCATGTTTGTGGGTGTGAGGGATCCGATCTTATGATCAAAACGAGAAAAGTGTAGCTACTGTTCACGATGCTTTGCGTGGCAGGTTCCACAAATAATGGGTTAGATATTCCACTTTCCAGTGGATTCTCCACCATTGGGATAACGTCCCCATGTATGGTCCGGGCATCCAGTCGATGTCCAGGTTGTCTAAGTGATTGGCTTCTGCCTGCCACACGCTTCAGGGTTTCGGGCTGTTGTGCCCCTCGGCACTGTCCCGGCCTTCTGACGCCAAGTATCTCCTGTCTTCAAACCACACCACATGCTTTTGACATACAGCGTGTGCCAGGTAGTCTATCACATGTTCTGTATCACCTGCCCCCCCCCCTCCCCCCCGCCGCAAATCCAAAAAGTTACGCACTATCACGTAGAGTATACATAACATACCTACTATATCTGTATCTGTATCTGAATACCTGTATCGATCTATCTATATATATATATACATATAGCACGCTCATGGGAGTTTCCATGAATACGGGGCCCACCAGACTAAAATCCTTGCTTCGAAGCTGAGGCAAGCACTTCCTTGCCCTTGATTGCCTTGCTGAGGGGTCGCATGGCGCGCTGGTGGTGTCCTTGGAATGATAGTCAATGGCGACCCAGTGCATGGGAGTAATCTTAACCCCCATGTGTGTTTCCGAAGATTAGGGGTACCTTTTCCAGGGCCCCCATAATCAGGATTATACAGTAGTATATTGGAGTCTATATTGGGGTCCGCCCCTTCTGGGAAACTGCTATGCAATACCAAAGGCTTCTATGGGCTTGTCGGCTTGTCAAGAAGAACCCTTCAGATCTACTTTGCAACGAAGATGGTAATTACTAGCTCTGGGCTTTTTTGCCTGCCTTTTGGGGGGCGGCAAGATCCATGGGCCTACCAGCACTTCAGAGCTGAGTACGCAACCAGCTTGATTGAAGCAGCTTGCCCTTGCCCTTGGGGCTTGGTAGTGCAGGCTTGCCAGTCTTTCCTTTTCCCTTACCTCGGCAGCGGAGGGCGTGACACGCTCATCCAACTTGGGTTTTCTCAAGAAACTAAACAGGGCTCTGGAGCCAATGGGGTACATTAATATGAGCATTACTATTACACAATGGGGACATGAGCGGATGATCAGTCTTTTCTGGGGGGATAGCTATGAACGGGATGCTTTGAGAAACGCCTGCTGTATGTATGAACTCCCAGGCCCAGGACCCGCGGAAACGCTGGATTGCAACGGGATTGGTCTGCCTGTCAAAAAGCTATGAACGGAAACGCCGATGGATTCCACTACACTCCCCCAAACTAACATGGAAACCCAAGGGTCGCCTGGTAGAGGGACTGTAGTCTTTATGGGGCCCTCTTTGGGTTTCCATGTTAGTTTCCGAGAATGTATAATTTATGGGATGAAATTGGGGCCACTACCGGGATCCACTCCTCCCTTGCTTACTAAGAACCACTAAGTCAAGCAGGCAGCTAGCTACAAAACAATGCCGTATTATCTACCATTGTCTCCCTGGTGCTTAGTAGGGGACTGGATCCCTATAGTAATCCCTATATAACCCCCAATAGTAATCCCCATAATCCATTCCCCCATTCTCTGCTAAGCACCAGGGAGTTGTAGCTACTCCACAGCCTGCACCAGGGCCAGACATAGGCGCTGCGGCCCGCCTCGGGTAGCAAGGGACGCTGGAAGTCGGTAAGTTCACAGTAAAGGGAGACCATTAGGGCCATTAGGGTGTAGGGTGTAGGGGTTTAGGGGCTTAGGGATTTAGGGGTTTAGGGTTGGACCCGTCTGAGCTAGGGACATGGTGCCTCCCTTGGACATGGTTACTCTGGGAACGTCAGCGCCGCCCTGGTCAAAACCTCATCTGTGCAGGCGCAACATGACATGTATCTAAATGAGCCATAGTCTAAAGTTCACCTATGTCCCCTATATAGTTCCCTATAAACCCCCTTTATGGCACTTCATGGAGTACAGTTTAGATTATGGCTCAAATGCCTGCTCGAAGTGTCCAGCGAGGCCAAGCAACCTTTCCCCTTTGCAGGTGGACCCTTGCTGCCTTTGCCCGAAGCGTAGGGCCTGATCACTGCTTCTGCTATGGTCCCCCTTAAGTAGATAAAATATTGGGTATTTGGGGATCTGATTATAATATACTCAAAGCCATATTCTATCTACTTAAGGGGTACTATAAGTAGGAAGCTGCTGAATTGGCACGCGTGAATCCCTCAGAAGGCTGCGTTATGGCTGGCGCAGGCCGCTCCTGCATACCAGTATGTTGGGGGGGGGAGGGATTTTGGTGGGGAGGGGGTGGGTCGGGGGTTCCGAAAACAAGGGGGCCCGTTTCAGGGACCTACGATAAGGATTACTGTACTTTGCCATAGAACCCCCCTATAGTATAAGGCTTACAGGGAAAGAGGAGGCAACTATAATAAGGACTACTGTAGTTTGCCGTCTATTTTGGGATCCCCTGTTTGAACCCTGGCTCTCCGATGTGCCTGGTACAGATCCCTCAAGCCGACGGGTGCAGCAAGGGGCATGCAGCCAACTCATTCGGCCCCCATCCGCAAAAGCGTTTGACTTCTGAATCCCACGCCGTCTCAGCTGGAGACCAGCAAGCCACGACTCCATGATCATGGAAGATGTCTTGCGTGATTGAAGGTATACGTGCAAGAACACAGACTGCCCACTTGGGAATTGTGTGTCACTTTTTAGAACTTTGAGGAGCTAAGCAGCCGCAAAATCACGAGAGCTGGGATGGCTTTAGGGGCCCTATAAACATTTAACTCTTATGGGTTGATATAACATTATAATGTTGGCTTCGCATATTCGAGCTAGAGCGAACCTTTTGGCTGAACCGATTAGTTAATAAAATGAGTACGGAATAGAGCAAAGTTTTCGCCAAATTGAGAACCGGAAGTGATCCCCGGCAATGGAAGGATAATTGACAGGGCCCGAAGAACACCCGTAGGAGAGATGTCCTGCATGCTTGGCGGGGCTTGGACCCAACCTTAAAGCGATCCAGCAGCTTCGACATGACTGGCCCAGAAGTGGGTTTTTGCTCAGGAACTTAATTTACCGTACCATATTACGGCTATATAGTACATAATAGGGCTTCCTCATTATAGTAACGTAGTTTAAGTTCCTTAACAACAACAGAGAGAAGCGAGATCTTGGTGTCAAGCATGGTGCGGATACCTGCACAGGGGGACGGCAACTATTTGGTCTCCCTGGCGCTGAGGGTTGAGGGTTTGGGGACCCTAATCCCTATCTAATTCCTACAGGGGATCCAGTCATTCATACAGCATGTCCGACAAAAGCACCAGGCCCTATTTTTCCAGTCTTCACCTAAACCCTAAACCCTGAACCCTCATCCAAAGACTGGGGGAGCCTGCGGGTTACCATCCTTGCTGACGTGAACGTCAAAGGCGAGCACGTCCTGCAACTGCTCACGGCACTGTTGCTGTTTGGGTTTAGGGGGGGACTAGTATTTCGGCAGTAGTGATGATCCCACACCCTACACTTACAGAATGATAGCAATACGGATGACACTTTAAGGTTATAGTCCCCCTTAAGTAGATAGAATATGGGGTATAGGGGATCTTATTATAATATACCCGAAGCCATATTCTATCTACTTAAGGGGGACTACATACTGTCACTGATATTGCTACAAACTACTATTCTTATGAACACCTGCGATGTAAATCTGATGAGGTCCCCAGGTTGCAAACCGCACTGTTCGATCACGGTGCCGTGCACAAACACCTGGGTTGTGGGTTTACTGTGTGCTCGGTGTGGAACTTCAATGAAGAGACCATAATGGGTATATATATATATAGTAATTAATATGGATTCCCCAATATGGCGACTTAGTTTTTGAGTTCCTTAACAGCAACCCAGTTTAGGGTAGGCTCGTGGCAGGAGCAATGAGAATCAAGGAGCCGTGCGAAGAGTGCTTACCCAAGAGCGGGGATTTGCAAGAAATACCCGTTGTAGCATACATCTGTAATCTTACTATGGGGGCTCCCTGTATTTAGATGGACCCCTAAGCTTCCAACCGCCCACGTCATGACCCTAAACCCTAAACCCCTAAACCCTAAACCCTAATAGTTTTAGGATGCTTGACCTCATGTTCAAAAGCTGAGGCTGGTTCGTCTTTACCTGAGAGCGAGGGTCACGTGCTTTTGCCCAACCGACATTACTGTGTGGTACCTGGTGCTCGTAGAAAATTCGGGAATGGATATAGAAATCAGTCTGAGGATGTCTTGAGGGTGTAAAGGAATCTCTGCAAGGATTTATGGGAGTCCTTCCGTTATTTCCAACAAGCACCACTTTAAATGGCATCTGCGTGCCGCGCCATAGAGGCTGCTGACCTCAGGGCCTAAGCAGCGGCAGCAAAACAGTCAATATATATATATATACCCTAACATAATTTAGCAGTTTCCATTATCTTTTCCATTATCCCTATATTACGCCAGAAAATTGACGGGACAGACCGGTATGGGTAATGAGAAGCCGTGACATGGGGGTTTCCCACAATGAGGATTATAGCATTTTGGGTCTACATTGGGTTCCCCCTATTTAGGGAAAGTACCAAATTCCATTGTCTTCTCATCATCAGGAGGCCTATGTGGGCCAAAAAGCAGCGACGCCATCACCATTAGGGGATGACAAGAACATTCGCTGTCTTTCGCTGCGCAGGAGTAGTTTCATGGTAGGAGAGGAGGGCGGGGCTGAGGAGCAGGAGGATCTTGTAGTATGGCATCAGAATGAGCCTGGGCAGCGGCTGCTGTAGAAGCGAAGTCGCAGTAGTGGCAAAACGTGGCAAGTGGAGATACCAGGATGATGCAACCGTGGCAGCAGCATTGGGCAGGGTCGTCTTTGTCCTCCTCCTCAGTGGTGGTGGCGGCGGCAGAGCAGCGGCTGCAGTGGCGGCAGCAGCCGCAGCAGAGCACCATTCATGTGCAAAGCCACCCTCACCATCAAAATCGCCGCCACCAGCAGCGCTTACGGCAGCAGCAGCACCAGCGCCGCCGCCACCACCACTACCACCACCAGCCTCCTCCTCCTCGTAATCAATGTTCATGTGAAAGAGGCGGCCCTGGCAGTGCCAATGTATGTCATCGGGTTCTTCCCTTTAATGTTCTTCACTCACACCTTTCCAACAACGACCGGCCTGACCTCGGATTGCTGTTCTTGGCCTCTGGCAATCGACGAAGCCGAAGCCGTTGCCCAGAACTCTTGTCACCGTACCTTCTGCAAACATGGGGCCCGTGCAAGCGCCTCTACTTGTAAAATCTCAGGGTACCATGCAAGGCAAACAGTCTGTCACACAGTTCCCAAAGCTGCTTCTATGGACAAAAATTCCTCTATAAACTATCTATATATATATATACTAGCCCCCCCCCATATATACATATGTATATATATATAAATGTATATCCTTATGGAACTACAGGATGTCAAACCCCCAGATCTTCAAAGAGGCAAGATGATTGCTGAGGCATTTGCCCTGGTTCTGTGGGAAGGTGGCCGCCTTGCCCGGGGGCAGAAAACCTGAGCAGAATAAAGCCCTCAGCTGAGACTTTAGGGTATAGGGTCCTGCTGTTATTATTGCTGCTACTACTACTACTACTACTACTGCTACTGCTGCTGCTGCTGCTGCTACTGCTGCTGCTGCTACTACTACTACCACTACCACTACTACTAATACTACTACCAATTTTTCTATCATTACGACTACTACTATTACAGAAAGGTAATTGTATTACTGTTATTGCTATTGCGGTTGTTTTGGATTTTGGATATTGGTAACATGGCTAACGGCTAGAATCAGAAGGTGTGAGCCAAAATCGTCTTTGCCTCATGCGTCCGAGCAAGGGCCCCACAGAGCAGTGGGCTACTGATCGAATTGCTGCTTCAAAGAATTCTGCTATGAACCCGAAACCCTAAACCCTTAATTAACCCTAAATTCTTCACCCTAAACCCTAAGTTCTTAACCCTAAACCTTAAATTCCTAACCCTAAACACCCTAAACGCCCCCTAAACCGCAAAAGTACAGTCTACCCAGCCAGTCTTTGTTGAAAAGACTCTTGCAAGTAGGGCTCCTGCCAGCTAGTCTGAAAACCACGTCAGCCTTGGATAACGGTACATGAATGGTTTGGGGTTTAGGGTTTAGGGTTTAGGGTTCTAAATCAGGAGTGTTGTGTTGGGGGTCATAAGGGATATATAATGCTTGTACATGACAGCGTCTCGCCGAGTTGTGGTATCAGCTTTGGAGCGTACATCTGCATGTACATGCATAGAATATTAATACAAGCAAAAATATTAACATGACAGCAAAGGCCATTGCAGGAGTATGCAGATCGTACTTTGCAAGGCACAACGCTGTAGCAATCATCTGTGGGCGTTGCGCGAGGCTGTCCTCTGTCATTCACGTGGAAGGTGAAGGCAACCACGTCGTTGACGACAAAGTTCTGTCGGGCTGTCTGGACCATGGAGCATCCGAGAAATGTACAGAGGCGTTAGAACCCATAGACCTAAAACGGAAGCATCCCCTATGCAAAGCCCGCAAGAACAGAGAACCTGCCTCCGTAGCTGCCACAATCTCTCTACACGATCCTGTAGAATCCATATCATGGGAGTCTGGGATGTAGGAGAAGGATAGGTGGTGGGGAGGTCTATTTCGTGCACTATACTTTGCCAAGCTGCAAGGCTGGGGCTTCTTGGAGGTCATGCGATAAGGATCAAAAGATAAAGAGTTCCTTAGGGTCATTTGGAGTCTCTATTGGGGCCCCTCGCTTATGGAAACCCTTTTCAACCCAGGTCTCTCTCCGAACACAAGCTCTAATCTCTGAACCCTAAACGGCATTCATGTCACAAATGCCCACTCACTGCGTCATTTCCCTTTACAGCAACTGTCCTTAAAGTGGTCTTTTCAAAGGCATCTTATGAGTCGTATGAGCCATTGTGGCAACAGCTACTGTAAGACCTAAACCCTAATTCCTAAACCCTAAACCCTAAACCCGAAGCCCTAAACGCTAACCCCTAAGGTCATCTCTTGCAAGGTCCTCCGGGCCAGCTACACTGGGATGGATGTAGATGTCTGCATCAAACCTCAGCGGTATATATGGGAGGTTGCCCCAAAGTAGGCGTACCTTTAAAGGGGATAGAGGGATTCTATAGAAATTCTATAGGGATTATATAGGGGATAGAGATGGATGAGGGTTTCCCAAAATCAGAGGTACCTTGTTGGGGGGCACCTATAACGAGGTTCATAATGCTTTGGGCCCCTTATTAAGGGAAACTACCACTTGTGCCAATGATAGCCAATGGTAGCAGCAGGGGCCATAATCGTATTAGACTAGTACAAGTATGAATGCCGGTGGTACCAGTGAGGGTTGTGAAGTTGATTTGCTATACTATTTGCACAGCTGGAGGACATGGGACTTTTCAAGAGAAGCGAGCTGAAGTCAGAATATCTTTCACTTTCTGGGGGTAGCTATTGAATGAAGACTGCGCGGCCACATGCCTCAGCACATGAATGAGCCCTCGGTGGCACATGACCAGTTCGCACTAATTAAACTCGCTCGCGAAATGAGTGCGCGGCATTGAAACAAAATCTCATACGTACAGGTGCCCACTGATTAACTTTCTTGTCTCAGTAGGGAATATGGGAATACATTCTGTAAGAGTTATAGAGGGATGACATTCCCGCATTCCCTGTTATAATCCCAACATATACCCCATTATAATATAGTGCTGCCATTTGCTTGTCCATTATCCCTATTTAACCCCAATATACCCCCTACTCAGAAGCAATAAGTCGGGTGGCGAGCTTGCTCTTGAATCCCTGGTCGTCGTATCAACCATTAGTATCTGCTGTCCACAATCTCAATCTAGGGCTATGGGTGATTAGCTCACATGACTTAATGGTTCTTAGTATGGAGTAAGGGATATAATCCCACTATATACACCCATATTCCCTACTTAGAACTAGTAAGATGCAGGACCCAGAACCCTGAACCCCAAACCCGGGACCCTAAACCCTAATCCCTAAACCCTCATCCCGAAACCCCAATCCCTGAACCCTAAACCCTTATCCCTAAACCCTAGAACCCTAAACCCTTATCCCTAAAACCCTAAATCCTGAACCTTAAACCCTCATGTCAAACAGGTCCTGTCCTGAGGCCGGATCCCAGAGTCCGGACAGGACACCATGCAGAACCCCCGCGCCTGGGTTAGGGCTCAGGGATCAGTGTTCAGGATTTAGGGATTAGGGGTTAAGGGTTTAGGGATTAAGGTTTAGGGCTTAAAGTTTAGGGCTTAGGGATTAAGCTTAAGACTTAGGGATTGGGGTTCAGGGATTAAGGTTTACGATGGCGCAGCTGCCAAGGTACACCTGGGGATAATTTTGCAACCAGCATTCTATATGGGTTCCCCTGACCACCCACGAGTTGATTTAATTTGGGCTACCTGAGGCTCATTGGGGGGTAACTCAGCGGGGGCTAGCATAACTGGGGTGGTTTGGAGAAGGGGGACCGCTCCAACCATTTTGTACCCCTCGCATCTAGCATGCTCATGGCACATGCATGATTGAGGGGGGTTCCATAAACAGGAGCCTCAATAGAACCATCCCACCATCCAAACACCGACCTGGCTGGAAAACCCCCATCCAAGCTTCCCTACAAAGAAGCCTTGAGTTGCGATGAGAATGCTGGATTGAAGGACCATGACTTTACTAAACCCCCTCCGCCTGATGCTCCCTGAAATCACGACCGAAGTGGATGACGTATGTTACGAGGTGGATCTCCTGAACTAACAAAACAACCCAATATACACAGCCCGATGTATACCTATATTACATATACTATGACTAATGATTCCTTACATAGGGTTATACTACGGTAAAAACGGACAATAATTCCTAAGGAGACTACTGCGCATGGTGCCAAGATTATGCGAAGCATAAAGCTGCTGAGACAAGGGGCCGGGTCTGCAATCTTGATCGTCCCGATCAAATGCTGGCCTGGATGCTGGTAGTGATCACAATCCTCTAGTTGCCAAAATGCAGATCCTTCTCACAAACCCTAAACCCTGCGTATATTCCAAAAGTCCTTGTTTACGAACACCCTGGAGGAGATGCGTAAGTTCAAGAAACACACCCATGGCTCTGCAAAGAACTGGGCGTGGTGCTTTCACCATTGCTGTGCGCGGTATTATCGATTTTTGTTTTTCCTGCAGTGCCAGGACTCATGCTTCGGGGGAAGCCTCAAGTGTTCTCCAGTAAGGGCTGCACCAATTCCCTTGCCTTTGCCAGGTCCAGTTAAAGAACCTGATGTGCATATTCAGGCGGAATGCACAAGCACGCATGCATTAATAGTGCTGGTGCTTAATAGAGAATAAGAGAATATCATCCCTATAGCCCCCCTATATAATGCTTTCCTTATTCCCTACCCCAGTAAGTAATTGCGTCTGAGGAGCTGCCCCAGGGGATTTGGACAGGACGGGCCTGCAAATCACGTTGAAATCAGAAACTCTTGCGGGCATGCTCAATGCTCTCCGTCCCTGCTGCCCCGACAGCACTTGTGTTGAAATGTTGCCACTCTCCGCTAAGATCGGTGTTGAGTAGGGGATAACCGGGGTTGAGAAGGGTTACATAGGGGTTTTATAGGGGTTATATAGGGATAATTGAAAAGAAAATGGAAACTACTATTTTGAGTACCACTGTCACAGCCCATCACGACGTTCCAGTGCTCGATGCTTTTGCCGCGCGATGAGGCTGCGCGCAAACGTGTAGCAAGCGTCGCTGAAGGCGCGCTCGGCTTACCATTCCTGAGACATGTCCCTACATACTGCATCCCTAAATAGTCCATATAACCCTACATATTCCTTAGCTCAATACATCCCTACATATTACATCCCTAAATAACCCTACATATTCCAATACAACCCTAAGTTACTCAATACATATATATACATCTTCCTATACACCCCTAAATACTTTCCTTTTCAACCATAGATAACTCAATATATGTGTACAACCCCTATCACAACAACAGCTCTCGGGTCTCCAGATGCTCGCTGAATCATGCGGTGGCTGTGCATTTGCGTGATGAGCTGGGTTGCTGTTCAGGAACTTAACTTCAATTACCGCATTATGGGTATATAGTAAATAATAGGGTTTCTTGGTCACAGTAACTGAACTTAATTCCTTAACAGGAACCCAGTGAAAGCTGAGAGCCCGTCCGTTGGCTTGTAATCTTTCAGGAAGCAGCCCCACATCGGACCAGAATCACGCTCTTCCACACCTGCACCTTTTCTGGGGCGGCGCCCCATGACGTAGCCAGATGCCACGGCTTCCATCCCCCCAAGCACAGGGTCTAAGATCCTTGCTGCGGCATCAACTTCATCAATGGGTGTCTGAAACTGATGACTCTCCGCAATTCGCTGCGCAGTGGGAAGGGGATTCTCATCGTTGATCCACCCAGTGTCCACACTATTCCTGGGTTGCTGTTAAGGTGCTTGAGTTCAGTTACTATAAGAAGGAAACTCTGGTATTTACTATAAATCCATAGTATGGGAACCTTGGCCCTAAACTCTACGTACCCCATATGCCCTATATGCCCATAACTTATGCTCACTTAATCTATATACCTATAAGTTATGCTAACTTATCTTGATTCCCTAACGGCCCTAACAGCAACCCAGCTTCATGTAGATCCCACTGCTCATGGCCATGTCTTCGGCACTGGTGCGCGTCATCCTTACAATTTAAATGAACCCCCCCCCCTACCCTGTAATAGTGACCACAAGGGATAATGGTTAGGGCCCTTTTCTATTCCTATTAAACCCCAAACCCCAAACCCTAAATCCTAAATCCTAAACCCTACACCGTTACAGGTTTTACAGGGTGGGGAGGGTTTTTCTACTTTATAACTGTTTGATCAAATTTTCATCCCGGAGTCCTTTACTGGGTTGCTGTTAAGGAACTTAATCTAAGATACTATATTGGGGCAACCCTATATAGTAAACTACTGTATATATATATATACCCATTATGGTAATTTAGTTTCTTAACAGCAATCCAGTTTAGGGTTTAGGGTTTACGGGCTTGGGGTTTAGGGAGTGCCTCGTATCAACATGCTACGAGTAGCAATAGCAGTAGCAACAGTAATCATAAGCATATCGATGCTGATCGTATGAATAGTCATGATGAGAGTAATAATGATAATGCAGGAAATGGTGATAACAATACTACTGAAGTTTTTGTCCCGTGTTTAGGCTTGTTCAAGTTCACAGAAATCCAATAGTATCCGCCCAGGGTCATGTTAAGGGCTGCTTTGGCCATGTTGGTGTGCGGGTGCGTTGGCTGCTTGTATCTGTAAAATTTCCCTTCCATCGCAGAGACGTTCACCACATATCTGTCAGGGTGTGGTGAGGATTCCAACAAAGGCCGAAGACGGCTGTTTAAGATAAAGGGTGCCATGGCATTGATGCAAAAAACCTCAACGGCTTCGGGCGTTTCGACCTCCCCTAGCTTTAGAAGCCAGCTGTTCGTGCTTCGCAGGTCCAGCTGTTGCCCGTTAACGTCTCGTGCACCCGCAGGCAGCGCCACAGCTTCCTCCTTCAGTCGATCCTCCTCCAGGACGAGAAGTTGCGAGAGTGCTGCGCTGCTACCCATGCCAGAGGGAGGCAGCGACAAGGCTTCGTCGGCCAAGCTCTCGGCAAGGCTAGATTCCAGTTGAAGTAAAGGGCCTCTTGTCAAAGATGGGTAAGGCTGCGCTTCTTCATGCAGGAGATGCGCATAGTATGCTGCTGGTCTGCGTATGGTCTGGCAGGCATTGTTGACAATTATGTCCAGGTATTGTTCCCGTCTTCTGAGCTGCAGGCACATGGCCTCAACCTTCGTTGCAGTTAAGGAACTTAATTTAAGTGACCCATACTCGAGGTATATAATAAATAACAGGACTTCCTTAATATAGCAACTTAACTTAAGTTCCTTATCAGCAACGCAGACTTGGTAGTTTCCTTTCATAGGGAGGACCCCAGTGCAGACCCAAAACAACTATCATCCCTACTATCTCATAGGGACCCGCCAAATGGTACCCCTAACCCTAAACTTAACCCTAAACCCTAAATCGTGAACCCTAAACCCTAAACCCTAAATCCTAAACCCTAACCCTAAATCCTAAACAACCCAGCAACCCCAGCCAAAAATCGAAAGTCGGCACCAATGATCTGCAAGCGATCCAGCCACTGCTCAGCATCAGGCTCCGCCATGTAGCGCTTCCGTGCATCCTAGGGCTCGTAGCAACCAACGCGCCCAATAATAATAGTAGCAATAAAAATAGTAGCAATAACAATAGTACCATCAACTCTGCAAGTAGACAATAAGAATAACATAGTAACAGTGATAGAATAATGGTAGTAGAAAACAAGTAATGCTATTCATCTAGTAACAATCACAATAACATAGTACCCGTCGTAAAGTAATAGTAGTAAGAATATATAGCAATAATATTCATCAAGTAACAGCAATAATACAGTAGCAGGAATGATGATAGGATAATAGTAATGATAGAATAACAATGCCGTAAAACTGAAAACAGAAATACGAATATCTGTAGTAATGCAATACTGTTAGCAATAGTAATTGATAGCAATACTGGCAGGTCTAGCAAGAATGATCGTCCTAGCTAAGAAGTAGGGGGGCTTGGCTACATTCCAGTTGTTCTCCAAATGATGGACCCTTTTGCTTATAGATTATATTTTGGCGCCTCACACTTAGGGATACCAACAAAAAGGAACCCTAATTTTGGGAACTACCCTAAACCCTAAATTGTAGCTTCCATTTTCTTTTCCATTTTCGCTAAATAACCCCTATAGATCCCTACAACAGAACCCTAATTTTGGCACCCATTCCCAGGCTGAGATGGAGTTAGCCAGTAGCAAGCTAAGTCCTGTGGGAAACGAGTGGTGGCAAGGACCCGCGCGCCCATTCGCAGCAGCTTCGTGGCCACCTGGAAACCGATCTTAACCTGGGTTGCTGTTAAGGAACTTGAGGTAAGTTACTACAGCAAGCAAACCTTATAATTTAATATATGCCCCCGGATCTACCCATCTTATGGTGATTTAAGCCCTGAACCCTATATAATCTACATACCCATATTGTGGGAACTTCATGTAAGTTCCTTAACGGCAACCCAGTAACCCGTGCTCCCGTCACCAGCGCAGTGCGACCCGACAAGTCTCGTGCTTGATTGCGCTTCTCGAAGTTTAAGGAAGCACAGGCTGGGCACCTAGGTTTGATTTGAGCTGTAGTCTCACTGCTTCAAGGGGGTTATATAGGGTTTAGGTTGATTTAAGCTGTAGTCTCAACTCCTTCAAGGGGGTTAGGGTTAGGGTTTAGGGTCAAGGGTTGATTTGAGCTGTAGTCTAAACTCAATAAAGGGGGTTATAATGTTGCACTCTCTTTAAACTCTATCCCCCCTAGCAATAGCATCCTCAAGAACGGCTTCAGAACCTCCCGCGATTCTAAAGGATTCTGGGGATTGATTTCAACCGCGATGGTCTTGGTCTAGGATTCTTAAGGTTTAAAAGCAAACGGGTTTTTAATGAAACCAGTTGGCTTCAGATTCAAGATGTGCTAATTACTTGGATGCTGGATATCTCTGAAGGCTGGGCTGGGAAAGGCTTTAAACCCTAAACCCCTTAAAATCCTTGTCTTGGGGCCTCAAGACCTGCAGGGGCCACGGCATGACAGATTGAAGAAGCTCTTCAAACAACGGTGGGTTTAGGGTTTAGGTCCAGGGGTCTGCTGCTTTGAATAGAACTAATTGTTATCAGACTCAAGATTTGATAAGTATTTGGATTCTGGATATCTCTGGGCTGAGCTGGGAAAGGATCTCAAAAGGGCTGCCTTTTAAAATCCTTCTTCGGCCTCAAAATGTGCAGATTCCCCCTTTTCGAGGGCCCCAAAACCAAAACACATTACAAAAGGTCTGCCCAACAATGGCCTTTTGAAATTGATTAAGCGGCGGCCAAAACACATCATTCAGTGTCTCTGCACGAAAGTCAGTACAACATTATGGGGGATGAAATAGGGGGAGTATTATAGGGCTTATTAAGGGGGGATACTCGGAGTTTCGACTACAGGTCATGTGGGGGCCCTATAACAATCTACATTTCCATGTCCTCATAAGGAATACATAGGGATTATGAAGGTAATAGAAATTCGAAAATATGTTCAAATCAACCTCTGGCACAGGTGCGAGTAGAAATGGTGCCTCTCGGAGAAGCGAACCTTGCAAATGTAGCAGGCTTGTTGTCGGCAATACTCTTGTTCCACCTCATCTGCTCCCCCCTCCCCCTCCGCGCCCTCGCAAGTGGCTTCCATGCTCGGTCCATCAGGTATCCGAAGCTGGCCTTTCAGCATCCCCGCGTCCTCTTCCTCCAAAGCCTGGAGTTTCGCCAATCGAGAGGCCCGCAGCTGGCTGTTCTCCTGGAAGCGCTTGTCGGCCTCCAGCTGCCTCTGACGGCGCTCTCGCTTGCGGTCTTTCTCTGCGCGCCTGCGCTCGCTCTCATCGATGGCGCTCTTCTGAGGAAGATGCGAGTAAGTCTTGTGCAAGTGTATGGACAAGATCTTGCGCAAAGGTCGTAAGCAGTTGGCATTTGGATCTAGGATGCCTGATTCCTCCGCCTCATGAAGCCGCCAAAGAACTGAGACGCAGTCTGCAAGCTCTGTACTGCTTAAGCCTGCAGCCTTCAAAGCCACATCCTTGTCAAGCATCTCAGGTTCCTCCTTGAGCTCATCTGTTGCTTCTTCCATCTAAGCCGCCAGCCTCAGGAGGCAGGAATCTGGCGTATCAGAAGTGCTCCAGTCATCGAGCACTCTGCCAACCATGGCATTGGGATGAAATCTGACAGGAGCCTCACTGTTTCGTTGACCTGCTTATTAGTACCTTTTTTCAGGAGCTCAGTACTTGCACTAGCTGCCTGCAGGCGTGCTTGCATACTTGTGGCTCTGTCCAAGAGATGGGCAGAGTGTGCAGTAGTGTGCGGCATCGGTCAGCTTGGCCTGTTTCTGTGGCATGATGAACAGACACACATGCGCTAAGCTGGCCAGAAGGCTCCTTTGAACAGCTTAGGGTTTAGGGTTTGAGGGTTTAGGTTTCATTCATTTTTGAAGCGCTCCATCTATGTTCCTGGCCTCAGTCGGACAAACACTCTGTTGGATCGAGCACTCTGTGCTTCTAAGGGTTTAGGGTCTAGCAAGTACAGAAAAGCCTCCTGAGAGTTGTGGACATACCCTAAACCCTAAACCCTAAGCCCTAAACCCTAAGCCCTAAGCCCTAAACCCTGATACTGGTGAAAAAGCTGGCCTTCGGCACCTCCTCTGCCGGCCGTTTCCAAGAGCCTTGTTGAAAGAGTGCGGCCAGATGTTCAGCGTTTGGGAGTGGGTGATCTACTAAAGATCACACAGTATATAATATCGAATTCAATGTTGGGACCCTAATGCACTATATTGGGCTAAATATTGGGACTCTAAACTATATTGGGTTGAGTATTCAGGGTCCCCAAATTGACTGGGTTTAAAATTTAGGCCCTCAGGCTTACATTGGGTTTACTTTTGGGACCCAAAACTAGGCTTTAAAAATTGGGACCCTGTTTTTGGAAACTAAACCTTATAATCCTAAAACCCTAAACCTTAAACCTCTAAGCTCCTGAACTCCTGAACCCCTAAACCCTAAACTCGCCAAGGCTGGGGGCCTGGCCGTTGCTGCCTTTGGCAACACCTTTGCTCCCAGGCCCTGCCATTCCGACGTACAGTTTAGCAAGGGTGTAGGGTTTAGGGGCCCAATCATTTGAAGTATGGGTTCAGGGTTTAGGGGTCCAATTATTTCAAATATGGCTTTAAGGTCTAGGGGCCAATTATTTCAAGCAAGGGATCTAACTGGTCCACTCAGAGCATCACAGGGCTAACATGATTGCATGCCATTCCATCTTCCAGGTACTTTTCCATTTGGTTCTCCGTCCTTTTACCCTAAACCCTATATATCCCTCTAGATCTCCTCTCTAGAATACCAAACCTGAACCCTAAACCCCTAACCCTAGACGCCTAAACCCTTAAGCCCCTAAACCCCTGAACCCT